TTTTATTTATTTAATTTTTTTGACAATTTTTCTTCTTCTTCTTCTTCCTCTTCCTCAATGACAATAATATTAATTATAATGATAATTTTAATTACAATTTAACAATATTCTCTCTCGTCATAGTTGATAAATGTGTAAAAATATATTAAATTAAAGGAAAACAATGAGAAATTAGCTTTATCTTTCTTTACATTTTTAAATACAGTATATACTTTTCTTTTTACTGCATTAAAACAACGAATTCCCCCCTCTCTCTCTCTCTCTCTATCGTTTTATCACAATACTTCTGGCAAAAATTTAAAGTATAATAACATTTTGATCAGTTCTTAGAGTTCTTAGCATCATACTGAAGAGAAATGTTATAGATTGAAGTCATAAACACATCCATCAACATGAAGGACAGATTGACAAGGTTATAAAACATGTCGAGATTGTCAATTGTTTTTCTTTTATTCTGGCAAACCAATGGCTTCACTAGACATTCATATAGATCTATCTATATACATATATAGATGCATCCACGCAATAAAAATCCATACGTTTCTTGCATTTTATTGCTTTTTAAGTAGTAGAACATATGCAAGAATGTAAGTTCATTTACAGCACATCAAAATTATATATATATAGATAGATAAATAACATTTTTGTGTTAAAATTCGTACAATAAAATCATGTATTTTTTTTTTTACAAAATTCGAGAACTTTGCTGTGGTTTTTTTCCTTTTTGATGATTTCTGCATCACCTGATCCGCATCCTTTTCCTAGCCTGACTCTGTTAAAAGTGTTAATGCAGTAATTACAACAAAAAATTGTGGAAAATGTAATACTTTTTTGATGATTTTTCTAACAGATTCGACTCTTAGTAAGCTTAAATAAGCATCACGTTAAGTCAATTCTAAATCTTATTAAAATAAAAATTATTATGCATACACATGTAACAATTTATAATAATTATTATTATTATCTCGTAACTACACTTTATCCATCGTTCTCCAATTTATATTATTTATTTACAGATAAGAAGAATATATATTTATATATAATTTTTAAAAAAATTTAATTAATTAATTAAAGAGATATTTAAATATAATTTACAAAAAAACAACAAATTAATAAATTTTTTACAAAAATACACAGAGAATAAATTACGTAAATTAAATAACTTCAAAGGGATTTTTTTAAATTTTTCTAATGATTTTTTAAAATATATTTTCCTCCCTAAAGCTATAAAAAAAATCCTTCTCCCTCCATTTAATTTTAATCTTCATATATCAAAAAAAATAATAATGAGCTTATGTTATCATTTTAATATTGACTTCTAGTTCTTAAATTAGTCGAATGTTTCAAAATAAAATAATATAAAAAATTTATAATATATTTTTTTAAGTCGTTGAGACTTTATAATTTTTTTAATTGTGTACAAAGAACGTTTTTTTTTTTATTGCATCAATAGGAATACACAAAAGTTTAGAATTTAAAATATAATTTTTTTTAATGGAAAAACTATACAACTCGATTAAAATTTTATTTGTTTTTTTCACTTTTATGTAATGTTTTGGTGAATTTTTCACATACAAACTTAATTTTAAGAAGGATAAAGTTGATGAGTATGCAGTAAGATATGTCATTTTTTCCTGTATTTTTTGACGGGTTTTTTTTAAGGTGATGATTAATTGAATTGTATAAATCAAAATTTAAAATATTTTATGGAAATAAATGTTTATCTCTCTTTAAATTTCTTTAATTAATTTTTTTTAAATATTCAACCAAAAATTTCAAAATTTTCGAATTGATTGGGAGGGGTTTCTTGCTTACATTTGATATATTTTTCTACATTTTAATCATTTAAAATTATATAATACACTTGTTTAAGCCTTAAAAATACCTATGCGTGTTTAAAACAATATTTTAAATTAATACAATTCATTACTCCATTCATCTTTCTTACTACAGAAAATATTTTAAAATATTACTTAAAAATAAAATAAAATAAATTTCTAAAAACTCAATTAAAAATAATAAAAACGTAATTAAATTTTTATAGGAATAATATAATAATAATAATAATAATAATATATTTTTTTAAATTATTATTAACACGTTCCCGCTTAAGCAGGAGTGAAGGCGGCAATTTGATGACATCTTTAACCTCCTTTGGGATTCATGGAGCGATGAGTTTTGCAGCATCTTCTTCTTCTAGTAGAAAAGAAAACATGTCAAACTTCACGTCAACCTCATAGGTATTCCACTATGTCACACTTGATAGATGGGTAGGAAGAATAAAGGGCAGTTTCTGATGTCCTCCTCCTGTGCGTCGACTGTCTTTCATCTACCATGTGACTGAAGTAAGATATTAAAGGTGGGAACACCATTGGTTCAGTTCGTCTGTTCTGAATCACCGAAACACCCGTCGATCTGGGTCTAGTATTCAGTCGCAAAGTGCCTAGACTCTTGGCTCGACGCCTGGGGTCCATACGATATTGATGAGAAGAATCACTATCAACTGAGAAACAAACGCATTGCTCGTTACGAATATAAGTATATGGGGCATAAAAATTACAAAAAAACACGCATTAGATATCAAGGTTCACATACCTTCAGACAGAGTACCTATATCGCACCTATCAGTGTCTTCATCGCAAGACGAAGATAAGCCATTAACCATGCTTCTCTTCTGCGAATTCTTGATGGCTCTGGCGTAAGAAGTGTCATCGGATTCTGGTGGATATTCGAATTCACGAGGTGATAAAGATTTGTGCGATGGGCTAGATTCGTTACTTGTTTCCGATTCGACTAGTGTGTTTACTGCACCACCTATATTTTCGTTTAAATTTGACGGACGAAGTTGTTCTAGAGGTGAGATGACCGTATAGTCAGTTGGAGATTGAGATATAGAAGATTCTTCTTGCATTTCATAACGTCTTTTATCTTCTGGTGATTCGTCTGGTAATTTGAAAGATACTGTGGTACGTCTAGCCAAATTTAAAGTGCTAAAATTAGTTAAATTACACCCAAAAAAATAATCCAAAAAATAAAGAGGAATCCGTTTTAAAATTCACCTTTGTTTCTTTTGCGCTTGAGGACTGCGTGAATATTCGATATCTTTTTGTTTTATGTACAATGGGCTGGTATCGTCCTCATTTTCGTTTTCTTTAACATAAGAATTACTTATAAAAATTTTTATCATTAAGAAAATTATGCACATAGATTATATAAAATTGATTTTCTTATTACCTAAAGTCGAATCTTCTTGAATTGGTGATGAGCATTTGAGAGGAGAAGATTTAAAATGTTCTCGATGACTAATGATAACAGGTTCTTCGAAATCTTTGAGTTTTTTCAACAAAGCCTGAAGTTCGGTGTTATGCTAATAATACCAGTTTTTTTTTAAATTTGAATTTCTTCATTTAAAAATGTTTTTAAATAAAATTTTAATATTATGTTTAATTATAAATAATCTATATTATAATAAGAATCTTTGTCTACGATGCCTAGAGAGATATTTAGCACTGCAATTACAAGAAAATATAATGTGGTGACACTAAGATATGCGGAAGATATTTTCGTACAAATAAATTAACAACAAAACACGTAGGTTTGACGCTGAAAGCGCAAGTAAACAATTTTATGTACTGTGAAACTTAAAAAGCGTGGTTTATTGAGGACGTATTGCGTATTTGGGAGCCTTGAAATACAGTATTATACTGAATTTGAGAAGCGTCACAGAGTTTCTGCTATTGAACACGATGTTCATCGTCTTCAGGTTTTACGCCTTTAAAATGGTCCCCTTCAGTGCTAAGATGTCTGTATAGGTATTTTGCAGAAATAATATGTTACTTACAGAGCCAAACGTGCCCCACAATGGCGAGTTTCGGTACTAATTTCTATTTTTAAGAAAATGGTTTCGCAAGTCACCCGATATTATTAAATACAGACTGGCCCAAAAATCATTTAACCGCTCATTGCTTTCGAACACTTGCATTTTAATATATAAAAATGTTTAATAAATTTAAAATAATTTATAATAATTAATGTTTAAAGTATAAAAATTATAATTTTAATTTGTCGAATCGTTGGTAAATTTGTCTATTGCTGAAGAAGAATCGGATTTTGAGTAATTTTTTCAAGCAGAAAATATATATATATATATATATTTGAAGAAGAGCAACTTACGCTGGAAATCGGTAAACTAAATTTTGGGCCACCTTGTAATATTTTTAACATTTTAAATCTAAGAATCTCACGTGTGAAAGTTCAACTCTGTACAAATTTTAACTAATTTTTATTTTGAAATAAGCCAAAAAAAATATCTAAGCAATTTTAATAAATAAATAATAAAAATTTCTATATATTTATTTTTCTTATATACTCTCACAGAGAGTTTAAGAACAATTGTTTTTTTTCTTTTTTTTAAGAGAAAAAGGCAGAGGTAACGGAAAAATGAGAACATCCCAAGAGTGCATGACAAGAATGAAGGATGCTTTGTTCTGCAAAAGTGAAGATGAAGCATTTATCTTTAGCTATAAAAATCAACAAAAAGAAACGTTCCCTGTACGACATCTGATTCTGCAACTAGAAACAAACAGAAGAAAAAGAAAAATCAAGAATTTTTTTCTAATTATCCCAGACAAAGCAGATTTACAAAAAAAAAGCAACACAATTCCCATTTAGATTAATAGAGAAAGAAAAAAAAGGAAGTTTTCTGTTGTTCGGATAGAAGGAAACACCCATAAAATGCATCCAATTCTAAAAATAAACATCTAAAAAATTTACCATCCACACGTCATCCATAAAACTACACGTATCATAAAAGTGATGATAAAACAGTAATATTTGTTTATTTATGTACGATTCTAAGTATATTTAATGCACGACATGAGATAAATTTGTAAATGTTTTAATAATTTATTTTTGACTAACTGATTCTTTGAGAAAAGTTCATAATTGACAAACGTGAAATGTTAATGAGCTTGACAATAGAATTGATCGAGCGTGACTAAAGTGTTCCCTGTTGCAAAATCATGGTTAATCCGATATGTTAGATTGCTTTCGTGATCGATATATACGAGATAACAATTAAATTACATTATCCTTCACCCCTTTTTTTTTAACGTCAGATAGATTGTTCTTAGTGGAAAATGACAAATTAAGAGACGAATCAATTTATCAAAGCTTCTTAGTTTTTTAATTTATCTTCTTTTTTTTCGTTTTAAAAAGTGTTTTACAACTTAAAGCAACCATACTGTAAATAAACTTCATGTTTTAACACATATTAAGCAATTGAGATTTAAAAAATAATTAAAAGTAATAGTAATTAATTAATAACCTGCTTCATATAGGCGGTCTTCTGTAGAATATGATATACATAAAATTAAATTAAAGTGTAAAAATTGATTGGCTATAAATTTGATTTTATCGTGACGATTAGTTGGAGAGTTTCTAATTGACAGATTCACGCTTATTTATTCAATTTTATTAGTTTTAAACCGCGCTTTCAATCTATTGGATGCTCGATTTTGAAAACCACGCCTCATACAATTTGGGGCGGAGTATTTTTTCTTTTTTTTTTTAATGACGATAGCAGAGAACCGCCTATGTTTGCAAGAGCCGATTTTACTTAATTTTATCGCTTTTTTTAATTAAAAATTATTTAATTTTAATAAAATAAAATCGGAAAATGATTTTATTAAATAAAATGAAAACTCACTTGTTCTAATTTTTGTTTATAAAGACAATTTTCGTCTTGTAAAAGTTTAACTTTGCAGTGAAACGTAGAATCTTCAGAACTTCGATGGGATTTGTTCAGAGGCTTTAAGGTCGTTCTGACTCTTCTCTCACCCGCTAATGGATTTCTCCACAATTCTAATAACTAAAACACGAAGATTAGAACAAGTAAAAATGAGGATTAGAACCGCATTAACTTGTAAACAACTCATCTTACTTTGGGCACGAAAACCAGGCACAGTGTGGTTGTTGAACAGAAAATGATGAATATAGAAATGATGATGAAAGCAGCATCTTGCTGCTCCCTCAACACGAAAGACACAGCGGCTCCTATGACGCACATGATGACTACATTATATACACTCATACCTACATATTTTGAATCGTTAAGGGCTGGGATGTTAACGTGGCGTGTTTCCCATGCCAAAAAGCATCCGAATGCCTAAAATTTAAGCTGTTTAGAATGGGGATTTTTTGACGCTCCCAACGGCCATTTAACACGGAATTTTCTTATGTATACTCACCATTAATAGTCCCTTATAAGCATAGATACATCCTAGAAAAATAGTCATACGTTCACTTTGACAAAATTCCATTTCGGGTATGATTACAAGATCCTCGTTTTCCGAAGAAGTCTGCAACGAAACAAAATTATTTGCAAATATTACGTTATTCATCGTCGAGCTGTTATTAGGGGGCAATTCAAGAATAACCTTTTAGCCTTTTTTTTATAATAACGGAACCTACTATTGGAGGAGATTTTCTTGTCATTCGATAAAAAGGATCAACCGCTTGCCACGTTGTGAGAATGGCAACGTCTATCAACACGAGAACACCAACCACCATGAACAACTTGTAATCTTTGATAACCTGTGAAAGTTAATGGCTGTAAATCACAATTGCCGATATATAAATTAATTCTAATCGAAAACTCAAAATTATTATTGTGAATAATTACTGCCTCTACAAAAGAGAAATGATTAAATTTTAAATATAATTAAATATATTCTTAAATACAGTTATATTATAATGTTAAGCTATTGTGTATAAGGATCGTGTTTGATACGAAATTTGCATTTTTTTTTATTAGAATTATTGTATTTTTTTTATAAGATTCACTCGATAAATTCTTTCTTTAAGCGATGGAATCAAGAAAAATTCATTGTTTAGTCATAAATTTATTAATTTTATCCAAAAATTAAGCTGTTGAAATGCATCTTTATATGTTCAAGAAAAGTTAATTAAGTTAATTTCTATAAATTGAAGCCTTTTTTATGATGAATATTTGATTAAATTTAATAAATTTTGTACATAATCCACATGTAAACTAATAATTTTCAAACAGGAGGAGAATTTATCCACAATTTTCGGTAGAGTAATTAAAATCAAACTATATTGTTATAAATCTTAATTACGCTCCTTGATAAAGACTATATACTGCTATATTTTAACTCGTAAAAAAATTGGGGTAATTATAATGTTAGATAGAGGTTAACCCACCCAAATTTAAGAAAAAAGTAAGTAAAATAAACTAAGTGTTCGTATGCCAACAAATGAATGTATCGTCCACTGCCACAATATTACATTCGGCCATTTACTAGATCCTAAATGGTATTTCAATAAAAGGCAGTCAAATTTACCCCATCCTAATGACTTTGTCGATGTAGAAAATGGTTGGCATGAAAGTGTTCACCTTCTTGTTGAGCTTGATATTGGTGAAGATGGCATGAACTCTCCAAGTTTTGCTAAACATTGATCCAAACGCTAATGTAAAACCAGACATCAAAACCCAGGCTCTTGCCTAAAAAAACACGAGGTAAAAAAAGTACACTCAACTTAATTACAATTATCTAAAACACGTTTTTTATTGATTTAAATATAATTAAACGTATATACTCACTGCACAAATATAAGGAAAATTGGTTTCGCTAGTCAGTCCACTATCTAATCCCAAGAGAATGACACTAGTGTACGTCAGCATGCACCCGATAACGATGATGTTATTAAGATATGGACTCGACATCTTAATATACCTGAAAAATACACAAAAGTATTATGTATTTTCATTGTAATAAACATGGAAGAAACATAGAAAACATGCCTTGAACTGACCTCTGATTTCTATACTTAATATTTATAGCTAAGAAAACTGAAGCCAGGATGATTCCCAAAATGGCGAACGTTACTAAAATAGCATAAATGGTGATACTAACTCTGGTGCGTGCTAATTGAATTTGTGTCTGATCTTTAGGTGGGCCCGTTCCTCCTTTAATTGAACGCATAAATTTAATTTTAATTAATTTTTTTAACGCTTAGAAACTACAGAAAAATTCGAACCTACCTCTCCACACAATGGGTTTATCACGACTCAGGTCTAAACTATCGGCGATGGCGCTGTATTCTCCAATTTTCACTTCACTCCCGTCTGTTAACAGACAAAAACAGGCATTTCCTTCACCGTATTAAAAGATAAATACACTATTTTCTAGAATAATATAGAAAAATAGGCATTAACAAACACACACCCTGTAATGGTGACACGTTAACACACGTGTTACTTAATCACGACCCCTCCTATCATTTTCACGACTTAGCCGAAATTACCTTGAAATCGATCGAAGTAGAAGGACAACCCTCTTATTTTTTTTTAATATTTTTTCTCCCTGACTTCCATATTGATTTATTCCAGAAAATTTAATACTCATGGATGACACTTATTCTTCCTCATCTTTGAAGCTTTAGGTAGGAAATATCTTCTTCTTTCGGGTTGATAAACAGTCAGACAGACTGAACAAATCCATTTTCGTTTTATTTTATTTTATTTTATTTTATTTATTTGGAAAGGAAAGTAAGAAGAAGAGGAGAGACGGGGTGAAAAAAATGTCACCAAGAAAAATAGGTTTTAGTGTGGCACACCTATCATCAATGAAAGACAAACTCTAGTATGAAAGGATTAAATTCTCAGTTTGAGTGATGGGAAAGTTTACTATTTCACAACTAATCCTTTATTTTTTTCCTCCTCCTCTTCCTCCTCCTCCTACGAAAGTTAGGATTGACTTTAATCTTTTCGATTTCTAATTTCTGCAAGTATTGCATTACTCGATTCTCCCATAGGAATCAGATTCCACTATCGAAATTTTCAACTGCCATTTTATAAAAATGCATAAAAATCAAAAAAAGGGAAGCGTAACTTTATCTCTTACACGTGCAGAAATATGTTAATTAGCCGAAGGGCGAAGAAACGACTCATTTAAATATGCTAATTAGGTGTTTTGCATAAGTAGAATATGTTAAATGGACATTTTATGAGTGGATAAACGGGAACAAATACGAAAAGGGGAGGAACAAAATCATCATTATTTCGATGTAAAAATTGGTTTTAATAATAGTTTAAAAACGAGGAAAATCAATTAGAAATAAATTAATTTCTTAATTAATAAAATTTGCAAGAACACAATTAAATATCCTAATTAGAATACAAGAAACAAACAAAAAATTACATACTGATGAATATAAATTAATAATTAAATCTATAATCCTGTAGGCTATATGAAATAGAATGTTATTCTGTCTGTCTGTCCCTTATATACGTTGTTGGAGCGATTTGAACCACTTTTTAAATAGTTATTATCCAAAACCCCACGTAAAATATAGAAAACCATGAGACCCGGACAATTTACCCTTCCCTGATTTTATCCCCTATTACCTCTTTGACCCATCAAAGCCGATTTTGGATAGTTAGACACTATGGAAAATATAGGCCCATAAAATCTAGATACCCCATTCGACCCCTTGAAACTATGTAATAATTTAAATTTATATGCTAATAAAAGTAAATTAATAATTAAATATATTAATTATATTTTTAAAAAAAACTCAAAAATTGCACTCGAATATACAAATTAATTATGATAAAACCCGCAAAAAATTTAAGAAATATGTTAATTAGTTTGCATATATTATGCAAATTAGGCAACCAAATTAACTATGTTAATGAATGTTTTACATAATTGAACACGTTAACTGCGATTATATTGATTCATTTAACTGAAATAAATACTTAATTTAAAATATGCTTATGATAATTATAAGCATGAAATAAGCACGAGAATATGCTAATTAATTTTTCGAATTTCATCCAATCAGAAACTAGATATTGAATTATGCTTATTTTAAATATAAAATAATAGGAAAAAAAGCATTAAAAGATGCTGATTAAATATTCAAATATGCAAATTAGAATTTCAAACGTTATCCAATCAGAAACGAGGTGTTAAAATACCTTAATATAAAACAAAAAAAAATGAAATAAACACTAAAATGTGCTAATTACAATTTAAAATATTATCCAATCAAAAATTAAATATTAAAATATCTTAATTTTATGTATAAAATAATGGAATAATAATAATAATAAAACATGCTAATTAAGTATTCACGTATGCAAATTAGATGTTCAAATATCATCCAATCAAAAACAAGCAACAGATTTATGATTATTATATTTGTAGGGCGTGTTTTATTCAATTAGGAACAAGCACTCAAACCATATTTTTATAGATCTGATAAGCAAACACACAAATATTTTATTATATTTTCCCTGTTTTTATTGACACAAGAGAACATGCACTCGAATAAATTTACAGCAAACTTTTATATACTTTATTATAGAAAAATAAAACATGTTTATTTGATCTTCAACTCACTCTGAAATTGTTTTAAGAGAATAATCCCTCTTCTTTCATTCTTCACAAACATAACTGATCCCTAAATAAACAAATAATAATAAAGAAAAAAACACTAAGTTTTCTTAAGAATAATTCAGATTTATATATTATTTTAAAAGAAAAAGTGAGTATAGAGAAAAAAAGAAAGGGGAAAAACAGAACAGGAATTGGTAAACAATAAGAAGAAAAGTGGAGGGAACAACAGGAAGTGGTAAAAAATATGAAGAAAGGGATGATGGTAGATGGGAGGAAACAGAACAAACTAAAAAAGAATTTACCGTTACTCCTGGGAAAGATATATTACTTAACGCATCCCTAAAGAGATCGCCCCACTTTGAATTTTTATACTTAAAATTCTCAAGAGATTCGGAGGAACCATCAGTTCGAAGTTTGCGTATGACTGCTTGAATAGCTAATGCAATGGCCCATATACCATCGTATGCATAACCATGAAAACGGCTGTATTCTCCTCCGCTGTATTTTCTGTATTGAGCTTGGTATTCAGATGCCGTCTGCAAAACAATATCGATTCTCTTCTTGAATTTTAACCATAAAGATACTCTTACTGATATTTTTGAATGTCAACCTACCAATCCAGACACCGTTATGTCGCTCGTTAAACTAAGAGGTAAGACTTCTGTTCCTATGTAACCTTCTAGAACGTGTTCTAGTTGATCTACGCTGCACGTTACTGATTGATCTGGTATTTTCCACCACCATTTTTGGTACATACTCACTATTATCCATTGGTACTTTCTCCCGTACATTCCCAGGTTGTAAGCCTGTTCAATAATTTTGAAATTGTTACGCGTTACCATAAAAATATTCAATTAACAATGAATAGGTAAAGTAACTTACACTCTATGCGTAAACGTAACAATAGAGGGATTGTTTTCAATGTTACGTTTAATTATTAAATGAACATTTAATGATTAAACGTAACAATTGGAATATTTACTGCACAATTAAACGTAACAATTAAAATACTCATTTAATGGATAACAATAGTAGTAGTATTTGAATGTAATAATGGAAGTACTCATTCAATAATCAATTGTCACAATGGAAATCTCTCAATTGTCACGTTTAGTTAGTTATAGGTAACAATGGAGACATTTATTCCATACTAAAATGTAACAATAGAATTATTCATTCAATGAGTTGACATAACAATGGAAGTGTTCACTCTGTATTTAAACGTAACAATGAAAGTATTCACTGTGTATTTAAACATAACAATGAAAGTATTCACTGTGTATTTTAACGTAACAATGAAAGTATTCACTGTGTATTTAAACGTAACAATGAAAGTATTCACTGTGTATTTAAACGTAACAGTGAAAACATTTACCTATATTTGAACATAACAATGCAAATATGTACAGACAATTAATACGTAACAATGAAAACGAATTAATTAAATTAAATTAATCAGCATAATCCCGATTCTCTAGATTACTAATTAATCCTTAACTACTAATTAATTAATAATAAAATTAGAATTACAGTTAGAATTCGTTAAAATTCCATATCTTTTGTACAAAAATATAATTAAATACCTCACAAAATATTTTTCGAGCCCAACTTTCGTTGAAATTTCCAAGTATAATTCGAACATCATTATCCTAGGAAATTAAATGAAATTCAATTATTAAGTTTGAGTTTTATCATTAAAATTACAAATAGACTTACTTTGAGCCTGCGTAAATCGTTCCTTAATTCATCAGCAAATCCAAAAGATGCAGCAATATCGATTTTTGCCATATCCAAGTCAGTTAATAATTTACTATGGGGCTGAAAAGGGAAAAATTGTAATAATTGATTAAATATTTCAAGTAATTATTTTAAAGAAAATTGTTAAGAAACACGTGGTATTGTATAAGATTGCAGATATTTTGTAAAAAACTTAGTGGAAAATCACAGAAAAATTTGCAATAAAATATGAAAAATTGAAGAAAAATGTGTAATTATTGTAAAAAAATTATAAAAAATTTTAAAAAATTATAGATTCTTTTAAAACTTTAAGAATTTTTAATTAAATATTATAATTTTTTATAAACATATTTATAAAATTTTATTGCTAAAAATTATTTTTTTAAAAATTAGTTTAAAAATTTTAAAGTTTATTTTAAAAAATCTTTAAAATTACTTCATTTTAATTAATAAAAAAATTAATTATGATACTTTTTCTACAATTTTAAATTATTTATATTAATTCTGATTAAATTAATTATATTTATTTATTATTAAAACAAATTGTTTTGGTCAAATATTGTTTAGGAAAGTCAGAGAGGGATATTCATTGTGCATAACAATTATTAATTAAAGTCTTTATTTAATTTAAGTTTGTTGTAAACACAACAATAATTTATATAAAATTCTAGTAAACACTTTATGAATAAACAATAAACAAAATTGATTTTTTTAAAATATAAATTTCCTTTATTCCTCTATTTATTTATTGTTTTAATTGATTTCTTACAATAAAAAGTAATTATTTATTTGTTCTTTATTTAATTGAGAATTGTTCTATAACAATTTTCACTTGTGTTTAATTAATTTATGCAAATTTTCTTTGTTTTTTAATGGAATGTTTTTCAAGATAATTTTCTAGAAATTGTTTCATTGTTAATTTCTAAGAGGAATTTTCTTTTTTCTTGATTTTTAATTGATTTTTTTAAAAGTTTTGTTAATTTTTTTTTTTGCAAATTCTTAGATTTTAATTGAGTTTTTCCCTTTTTATTTTGTATTTTTGCCATATTTTATTTTTAACTTAATTTTTTTATCGTTTTTCTTTTATATTTTTCGTCAGATTTGAGAGTTTTATCGACTTTTTCAGTTCTATTTCCAAAAATTCATTATTTATTTTTTAGTTAATTAGTTATTTTTTTTTATATTTTTAGTTAATTTTAACAGCTTAATTTCTTTTGATTTAAAAATAATTCACGTTCCCTTAATTAATTCTTCAAATTTCTCGCTGTTTATTATTATTAATTATTATTATTATTTTACTTTTTCGTTAATTAAAAACAAATTTAATTACTTTTTGTATTTTTATCCTAAAAATTTCAATTTTCTTTTACTTATCCTTACAAAAAGTTTTAAGAAAATTCTTTATTTAGTAAACTTTGAAATTCTCTTTCATTTTAATTTTTTTTAACTTAAAGTTTCTTATATAAATCTTATTCCTTTTAAATTTGTTGTTGGAAAAAAAAATTCAGTTGAGTTTTTTTGAAAGTTTACAAAAATATTTTTATTACTTTTTGATAAACTAAAGAAGTTATATAACTTCTTCTTTCACTTAATTTTGCTGTTTTTTTTTATTTATAAATAAATTTCTAAAATATTTTATTAAATTTTAGATTATTGATTATTTCTCATGAATTATTTTATATTTTTAAGAGAAATTTAGAGTTTGGACTTTTACTACATTTCAAGAAACCCCCCCTTTTTTTCCTTTCGTAGTTAAAGACTTACAAGAAAATATTTTTTATCAAAATATTTTTCCATTCTTTAATCATAATTTTCCATAAGTCTCATTTATTTTTAAGTCGATTTGCGAGAAAATAAGAAGAAATTTTAATTGATTTTCCAAATTATTTTCTACTTTTTCAATTTAATTTTCAAAAAATGCACTCGAGTCTAAAAGCATGCAAAATTTTTCTTCTTTAATTATTATTTTTCGTGAATTTTATCTTTTACAGTAAAATTCGATTTTCAAAAGGATTTATTTAATTTTCCAAACATCAGTGTTTTTTTTTCCTGTATATATCAATGTTTCTGTATCGTATGTTGTGTGTTGTGCGTGTGGGGGGCACGAATTTGTTCACCATTTTTAAAGCTTAATAACTCCCGTGCCTTCTGTCGAAAATAACTGACATTTTGCAGGAAAGTTTGTGTATAAGGAGTATTGATGCTATTCAATTTTTTTGACTAAGGGTCGAGGGGATGGGAAAATAAAGAGGTTCGTGCGTATCTCCAATAGGGTCAGACTTAATGAATATTTTACCCATTATTGTAATTTACATTTTTTTATAAAACCCATCACTCCCCTAAGCTTCTTGCCAATTTATAATAGTTAGAAATGTAAAAATTATAAAATAAAATGTATTGCCATCAAATCAGATGGTGCCATCAAATGTTTCAGGGAAAGTTAAGCAACTCTTTGCTGGATTTTTTAAATGTATTTACAAAACTATTTTATTTATATTTCATAGAATCTATACTTTGTGGATAAACAAATAATTTCATTACTTTTTATTCGAAAAAATTATTTTTTATTGTTGAGTTATTTACTTAAAAATTAATGCTAAGTTAGAGAAAACTTTCAAAAAAAATATTGTTTTTCTAAAAAATCTTCTTAATCACAATATTTTGTAAATTTCATTTCTTTTTCAATTCGGTTTCCAGAAGAATTTATTTCATTTCCAAAAATTGTTTACTTTATTTTCAATCTTATTTAAGCGAAAAAATATTTCTTTATTTTTTAAAATTCATTTCTAAAACAATTTTTAATGATTTTCATAAAATAATACTAAAAAATGATATTTTACTCCAAAAAATGATTTCTTTTTATGATTTATTCTCACAAATAAAATCTCTGAGTTAAATAAGACTTGTAAGAAATCATTCCTTTCAAGAAATTCCTCTTTCTTCAATCGTAATTTTTCATAAATTTCTTTTTCCTCCCACGTCAATTTTTAAGAAAAAGACAATTAATTTTCTAAAATTTCCTTTTATTCAATTTAACTTTCAAAAATAACATTTTCGTATTTTCCAATTTCGTTTGTAAAAGAATCTTAGACGTGTATTTATCAATGTTTATAAAATTATGCCCATTAATGGCCGTGTAGATAAACCATGAACGCTAGTCTTGGGTTCGCACCTGACAAATGGGCTGGCCTGGAGTTTTTCAGGTTATCTTCATGTATCTAATACCTATATGGAAGACAGTTTATCATAAAAAGTCCTTTTTCTTGGGCAGATCGCCCATGTGTTTCGTGTGGTGCAGATTACCATATATCTCATCAAAGCCAAACGATAAAATCATCTTTATTTTTCAGATAATCACGAAGAATTTCAATACGTTTACCGTTACAAAAAAAGGTTTGTTTTGTTTGGTTTGGTTTGTATACGGCAACGCGACACATGGGCGATCTTTCAAAGGAATGCCTTCTTGGCAGGTCGAAGAACTATAGATGGAAAAATGGTCCTAATCTAGTGTTCTAAACGTTGAGAATCCGGAAAACTCCACATGACCAACCCGTTGGTTTGGTTTATTTATTTACAACAACCTGATACTTGGGCGATCTGCCGAGGGGATGCCTCCCGGAAGGATTTTCTATAGAAAAGTGGCCCCTATTTAGGTGTTACAAACGTGAAGAAAACCCGGAAAACTCCACATAGCAAGGTGCGAACCCACGACCAGTGTTCAGTGATTTCATCTACTCAGCCACTGGTGGGCTCAAAACAGTTTATTCTTCTTTTCTCAGTTAAAATACATTTACACGAAAATATAATTTTCAAAAAACTTTTCTTTCTTTAATCAAAATCTTCCATTAATTTCTTTTTTTTTTTTGTTTTTTTTTTTGAAAACCATGCGATTTCCGAAAGAATTCGTATGATTTTCCCGAAAATGTCTTCCAACTTTTCAATTTCATTTTCTAAAAAAAAACAACTTTATTTCTGAATTTTTTCTAACTGATTTCCAAAAGATTTGGCATATGTATTTTTTTTTTTGTTTTGGTCAATTCTTTTCGATAAAATTAAACAGAAAAGAATTCGGGTTAAACAACTTCTTATCACCGACAATGAAAAAAACATGAAAGCATAACATGGAATATAACAGAAACCAATCAGAATATAAAGATATGTGGAAGTTATTTAAGATCAGCACTCAGTTATATCTATTGATAAGTTGAGATTTTCTTTTCTTTCATCAGCTAACTCATCTATCTTATCATTCGATCTGCTTTCTCCTATATTTTTTTCCCTTCTTTCTTCTGTTGTATTGAATTCTTTTTTTATGGTCTTATATGCCATTGATTGTAAGGAAAATAAAAATGAGAGAATAGATAACAAACTAGACATCTATCAAAGCAGATTTTGTAATTTTCCTATCATACGTGAAGATACTAAAAACAAAAATTCCAGGAAGTTTTAATAGAAAAAATGTATATAATACATATAAATTTATGTCACCAGAGTGACAAGTAATATAATATTGAAGTGTCGAGTTTTTAAAAATTAAAAATAAAAATAAATATTTTTTAAAAAATATATTTAAAAAATTCAATTTTCATATTTTTACAAGAAGAAAATTCTTCCTGAAATTTGACTTTTGTTGAGTTTACAATGTTTGATGGTTTAAAAAATAATTTTTCTTTGAATTTTAATTGTTGGAGTTAATTATATTGAATGTATTTTCTTTAGATATTTAAGAATTTTTGGATCTTTTGATAATTATTTTCTATTCTGTTCACGAAAATGTTTGAGTCCTTTTGAATTCTGTGCTATACAGAACATTAGAAGACTTAAAGGAAACTCGAGCATTATTCTTGCGGTATATTACGCATATTTTATTGCTTTTAATGAAAATTAAACCTGGTCTAGTGAAAATTTGAGACTCTGTCCTTAACAATTTAATAAACCTTAATAACTCTAAAAATAAAATATCTTTTAATGAACTTTGCCCACAATCTTATTCCAAAATCAATGTTCCTAGCCAATATAAATGCATAAAAAATCATCATATATGTAATAAATAACCAATATTTTGATATAATTATTCACTT